ATCTAACATAAGCCTTACCGTCAAGAAGGTGAACGCGCGTTCTTCGCACACTGTAGGCAAGGGCAAAGAGATAAAAATGGATCTAAATCCGAATAAAATCAGCACACGTTTCCGTAAATGAAAGGGTGAGCATAAGCAAATGAATCGAAGGAAACTGGTCAACTCAGAGATCACCTGTCATTGAGTATTCCGTAAAAGGAGGCCTCGGCAGCGGAAAAGCTAAATTTAGAAAGGAGATCCTGTCAGCTTTTCCATTATTTATTTCATTCCGCCCAAAATCAGCACACTTTTCGTAAATGAAAGAGTCAACACAAGCAAATGAATCAAAGTGAACTGGTCAACTCACCTGTCATTGAGTAATATTCCGCGAAAGGAGGTCTCAGCAGCGCCGAAACGAAATAAGCCAGGCCAGGAGACGAAATATCCGAAACAGCTCATGCAAGAAGCAGTTCCAAAGAAGGAAGTTCGTCGTGCATGCACATCCGAAAAGGCAACAACAAAAAGTCTGCAATGCACACGCATGCGGCCAGCCGGCCGCGCGATGGCAGGAGCCATGGAGTAGCTCCCTGGTCCAGGACCAGGTACCGAGCATCTTACGTAGAAACTTACGTAGCTACGTAGACAACGTGTCTGAATAGCGGTGTCGTTAGGTAGCGCCATGTGAACACAATAATAGAAAAGCTGACAGGATCGCTTTTCTAAATGAGAGCAGCTCAAACAACTACACGTTCGAAGCAGAAACAGAATAGAAGAGAGACAGAGAAGCAGAGTAGAACACGCCTAGACAGAAGGAGAGAATTATCAGCGTCAGTAGAACAATAGCATGCATGGACACTCGTAATAACGGAACAGACGACATGGCTGAAAACTGGAGCATCTCCACGTGCGCGCTCGCAGCAATGTGACTCAGAGACAGAGGAAGATGAATAAATAAACAGACAAGGTAAGGTCAAAACGAGAATCATTCAAGAGGCTGTCTTGAAATATTTACAGAACAGGTGAGTGGCGACAACAGTAGATATGGAGAGTTAAATAAGATAATTTTTTCAAATACTAACTGTCTAACATCTAAAGCTCATCTCCTTCCGCAATATTTCTAAGGACTGTGCCCTATTTTTCGAATCCTATAGGTTTGAGATTTTACTGGACCTTGTTTTATCCTTAAAATTGGTAGTTTCACGACGACATGTGCGATATGTCGTCATGAAACCACCCCGTGCCACACCTGTAATGTTCTTTTGCACATTCACTGCTTCAGTCCTTTCCATGACAGCAGCTGAACAATGCTGCTCAAGGTTCCAATGCTTGCTCAAAATGGGTATTCATGATGACCTATGAATCTGAAAATTCAGGCCTCAAACATATTTACAGCTTCTATGAAAACCATTAATCGCATTATGTCGTTATTATGGGTCATGAATGACTCATGATCACCAATAACAACGGCATACAGGTCACACATTTTCAAATCCTATCATATAGGACTTTTTGCCAGGAAATTAAGAGATCTGACCTCCTCGAACGCCTACTTCGCCTGCCTTTCAGCAAGCCTCAAACAAATCCTCATCAGACTGGATAAGCGCTGCATACGCTGTATCACAACCCAGCCCTCAAGTGCCCACGCTATAGGCGTGGGCGGGTAATGCTAGTTATTTGCTGCGATAATGCTAAAGGCAATGCTCAAAATATGAGGATATAATGCCACTTATAATGCTCACACTACTCCATAATGCCAGTTTGAAAGTTGGAAAAGTCGATTTAAGAAGGCCGTCTTGGATCAAGGCCAAAGCGTAGAAGAAAAAAACTTAAACAGCAGTGAGCATGTTGTCTGAAAAAATCCACTGAGAAGGTTGATTTGCAACGTCAAGTCTCCGGACGAAGCCGGACGGGTTCAGATGCACGATTTTCGAAACTGGACCTAGCCAGCTTCATGCATGACACCGTTGTCGACCGGCAATTATGCTTGTAATGCCAATTTTGCATGCGATATGGTGTTACACTATAATGCCAGCATTATGCCACCTGGATAAAAGGGACTATAATGCCAGCCATAATGCTAGCATTACCCGCCCATGCCTACCACGCTATGCAGCTGTATGCCCAACTCGGTATCTGTCCGGCTGTTGAGCGGGCGGATTGCAAGTTGCTGCTTCTCATGCACCGTATTCTTCACGTCAATGTCAGTTTGCTGCTCAAATCACGCCTGGAATACAGTTCGCTGCCCCGTGCCACCAGAGGTCCGGATACCTTCAATCTGCCCCTTCCCAACATCCGCAGTACTTCGGGATCTCACAGACCAGTATTTGCTGCTGCTAAGTTGTGGAATCTTTTGCCCCCCCCCCCTCTTTAAAGTCCTGCCCTACCACATGCCGATTCAAGCGTCTATTGAAAGTTTGCTTTCATGGTTAATACTAGGACGTTCGCTATCCCGAGAGATCTCTAGGCTCACTGTTTTTATATACTCCATCTATCCAGGTTATCCTATCTTTCATCCGTTTGGGCATGATTGTCCGTTTGATTTGCAATGCATTACATAAAACAAATACAAAATACGTACATGTAGATGTACTTCGGGATCTCACAGCCGCGTATTCCCCTCTAGTTGTCCTGCCCTACCACATCTCAATTCACACGTCCATTGAAAGTTCACTTCAAGTCATGGCCAATGTTAAGATGATCCTTACCCTGAGAGATTCCTAGGCTCATTGCTTTTTCTTCACTCCACTTACCGGTATCCAGGTTATCTAATCGTCCGCCATGAAAAAATTGAAATCAGGGTGCAAAATCCTGCGTTCTGGGCACTTTGGGAATTGTGTTTAAATGGTCGGGGTTTGTGGACCGGCCGGACTGGCTGCGCTACGCCCCTGCATTGGCCCATGATGGCGTTGATTGCACACAGCAAAAAATCCAAACAACGACAAAGGGGTTTCAGGTTACTGGTCGGCTGAGAGGGCATGGAGGAGAAGAGGGCATGGAGGAGGAGAGGGCACGGAGGAGAGGAGGAGAGATTGCTGCATTATTGAACAGCCAAATGGTGCCGTTCACACATTGATTGATAGTCCTTCTTTCTGCACAAATAATTTTTTTAGTCACGTGACAAGCATCGGTACAACCAATACTAAAAGGAGTCTATAGACTATAGCCTATATAATAGGGGCTGGGGGCTTATACCAGTGGTACTATTCGTACGTGCATGGCCATATGGAGAGCCTGGTGTAAATCAACAAATTTTCAGAGCGTCTGTATTTCAGCCTCAAAGATCGAAAACACTTTTCGGTCGCAAAATCTTAGCCTGTCACCGCCCCTGCCCGTATTCTCTGTCACACTGTAGACCTACAATGCTACATGTACCTTGCAAAAAAAATTATTTCAGCCCAGAAGCAAATGTTAGGCCCCGAAGCCCGGCCGGCTCAGCAGATCAGGCCGAACATAGCCGAAAACAAATTAATATTCGTTGAATATCATATTCATTTTGTTGAGTTACAGTACAGTACTGTCCCCGGGGAATATCGCGATTCCACGGCCGCATTTTTCCCGCGTTTTTTGCGATTTTTTAAAAGACCGCGATTTCCCCCGCGTTTTTTGAACTTTTTTGTTGCACTACACGTACACACAGTGCACTGTTCGGTCAGCAACGTCTCATCGTGGCGGCTTTGTACTCAAATATGACGAGTGAATACACCAGACTTGTAACTGATTGATTTCACTACATACCGGTACTCACTGAAAATTGCCTCATATCAACTGCAAACTTGCCGCATGTCAATAATATTCACCGCATATTTACCGCATATTAAATCGCAAATTCACCGCAAATTATGCCATATTTACCCGCGAATTACACTGCAAATTCTGGGAATTTTTTCCTCGATTTTCCCCGGGGACAGACAGTATCTTGGTACAATCATGTACATATGATATAACCTAACACTGGTTAAAAACCAGTATTAGATAAACCTTGTTATAGTTCACGCAATTGTTAGATTGACAGCATGAAACAAGGTGGAGGACACTGTGTTCGGAAACAGTGACCTTACTACAACCTTCCGCGGTTGGCAGAGCCCCGGTCCCTGCGGACCATGGGCAGAAGTTGGAAGAAAAAAGAAAAAAGAAAAAGAACTTCAACTCAAAGAAGTCTTTATACAAGTTAAAGAAAAGAGGGAAGAAAACAAGATGACATCAGGAGTAGTCTCCTAACCCCCTAGCATAATGAGGGTGAGAACCGGGTGCGATACCCATATGGTTCAAATGGTACGCAGGGACCGGGGCTCTGCCAACCGCGGAAGGTTGTAGTAAGGTCACTGTTTCCGAACACAGTGTCCTCCACCTTGTTTCATGCTGTCAATCTAACAATCATGTATACCGTATTTCCTCGATTAATAGACCCGGTCTTTTGTTTTTTGAAGAGGGTTGGACCCCTGGTCTCTTATTTGGGCATGGCCCATTATTTGAGCATGGTCCACTATATTTTCATCGGCACATCGCTGGAAATGGTGGATTTTTAACACGTCATAAAAATTATAGAAATTCTATGCCGATGGTCTGATATAGCGACATAGCTCTATGCCGATGAAAATATAGTGGACCGTGCTCAAATTATTAATGAAAGAAAGCACTAGCCACTACAAAAATTGTAGTTGCGCAACCTAAAATCGCGTCCTTTTTTGATCCACCACGTGCTTTCTTAGTGCGCATGCGCAAAGCGATGAACTCAAAAATAAGAGACCGGGTCTCTTATTCGGGCATGGTCTACTATTTTTTCCGTGAGGCCTCTAGGAGGGTCTAATATTTGGGCATGGTCTGTTATTCGAGCATGGTCCATTAATCGAGGAAATACGGTATGTACAGTAAAGCCTGGTGTAAACGACCTCTGGGTCTAGCGACCACCTGCTCTTAACGACCATTTTTCCATGCACTGACAGTTCTACGCAGTCACTGTGGTACCGGGTGCTAAAGCCCACCTGGCTTTAACGACCTCTTTTGCTTGCACCGAATGCCAGCTGTAGTCGCGTGTGCACACACAATACCCGGCACTGCAGTACAAAAGTAACAGGCAAAATATTACAAGCAGGGTATCGCATAGTATATTTCAGAAAAAGACAGAAATTAATGGCATGGCGCCGCTTTGAATACGGAAGATATCGAAAAAGTCTGCACAAAAATCTCAGTGTGCCTTCAGCGCCGCACCTCTATTGGCGAGCAGAACGTGAGAGTTGAAACTCTGAGTTGCATCATCAAGTTGTACTTAGAGCACACCGTGATAGTGGTGTGGTGATGTCTACAGCGCTTTAGACAATCTTTAGACGGTTTCAATTAAATCAAGTCTGAAACGAGCGAACACTCACTGTAGCCATGAGACAAAAAAAAGGAATTACACAACAACAAAAAGCGCCCGCAAACAGCAGAGCCAGCTAGAGACAGATTCCTTTTTCGGAAACCCCCAAGCGCTTTATTTTCTCCAGCAGGGGTGGAGGGTGCAATGACAAAGAAGTGCACTGCTTCCAGAAAGAAGAGCCCAATTTTACGGTGTTAAAGCGTGGGGATGGTGGTGGCAAACGCTACAGTCTACGTACAGTTAAGTCGCCGCGTACGTGCATATATGGGCATGCGGTTCTAGGAGAAATTCTAGCCCGTGCAATCTTCAATACTGGACAGCAGTGAAGCACGACTTTCACTGATACCACCGTGTGGAGCCAGCTCATTGAATGCATTGTAGTTCATGTCTGGGGCCGCTGCGCTTGTCCAAGCTGCCATGGTTAGTGCAGCTGGTAACTGCCCGCGCTGTTGGCTCTGCTGATGTTGCAGCTGTTGTTCGTGCTTGTGTTCCTCGATCGCTTGGCGCGCTGCGAGAATGTCTTGTCGATGACACTGTAGTTGCCATGGCATTCATCCGCCACCGGTCTCTTCTTCCTCTTCTCATAGTACAGGTCGGTGTATGGTGGGGGCAAGCACTCTCCTCCTCCACCGGCCTCAGCCTCTAGCGGGTCTGACTTGCTTCCCGAGGCGGCGGCTGGTTCCCACGCTTGCCTGGCGGTGGGGCAGTTCATGCCATCCCGGGACGGAGGCTTACTTATCACGTAGGCCGGGTTCGGCGCAGCTTCACTAAATTTGGCCAGGGCTGGGACATCAGCCATAGCCTGACGCTTGACCACCGACCCGTAGGATCTGCTCAGCTCTTTGTCAGTGTGGAACTCGATCGGCTCGCTGAGCGAGCGGATCAGGCAGTGCTTTTTCTCCCGTACATAGGCTGGCACCGGCAGCTCCTTCTCCCTCTTGTCGCCAAAGACGCCGGGAACGGCGTAGCGTGGCACATTGTCCAGCGCTTCCCAACACTGGTTGGTCAGCTGGACCAGCTTGTCGTCCATCTCCTGGGGCGAGCCTGCCGCGCCTCCGTAGAGCGGCGGCACGATGCACTCGTACGCTTCGTCGTAGAGCGGCTGATTCGAATTCCTGCCGCATCCCAGCGTCTGGCCGGGATCGCTCTGTTTCGCTTGCAGCACCGCCACCGGCGGCGGTGGGGCGCTATAGTTGTTGGAAACGATCTTGGACGACGCTCTGTCGAGAAGGGGTGATGGTGGCGCCCACTCGCCACCGGCCTTGCAATAGCTCTCCGACAGTTCCACGCCGCAGAGTGTTGCCGAGGAGTTTGTGTTGAAGACCTTGGTCTTACCGTCGCCGGACGTCGTTGACGTTGCTGGAAACGAGAGACGGCAAAGCGAGCATGCACCCACATCCACACCCACATACATCCACACCCACACAGACATACACATGCACCCCCCCCCCCCCCACACACACACATTCGCACTGCAATCAGCTCACTGTATACAAACCCAAAAAACGTGTGAAAATGAGTCGCGTGCACCGTATAAGTGTACAATCTCCCAATTAGCTAACATACCGATATTTCGCTCCATTTTGCCAGCAAATTCTCTGATCAAAATTCTTCAATATTTTGCTAGCAGAATTGCTAGCAAAATCAGTTTATGTCTAGAAGGCGGACGGCGGGAATCCCGGCCCGTAGCCCGCGTGTATGCAGCGCACATGAAGCTACACACAGGCAGGAAATGACATAGGCAAGGCTACACCATACTACAGTCCATTCAGAAAAAGATGGGCCCTGGCTCTGGCGAGCTCCCGTATTTGGCGATTTTTCGTGATTTCATTGTACACAGTGCAGTGCTGCGAAATTTGAACTTTGAAAAAGAGTCCAAAAAGGGTACCTGAACTGGGGTTCGAACCCCACAATGCACTGTTGCAGGCAGGGTCAAACGGCCTGGATTTTGATGGTTTTTTCCAATTCAATGCTTCTGGGGCAAAACCTGGCCGATATCCTATTCTTGTTATGGCTTGCTTTTTGGACAAATAGACTTCAGAAACATAATTGGAAGAGGAATCCATTGGGGATTGCAGAAAAAAATTCTAAAAAAACTCAAAGTTTGACCCATTTATGGCCAAAAGCTAGAAGTCCATCTTTTTCTGAATGGACTGTACACACAGCTACAGGCAGGAAATGGCATAGGCAAGGCTACCCCATACGATACAGGCATGTAGCTATTAGAGCTATTAGAGCTAGAGGTTCTCCGAAACGAAATGCGTACAAACTTTCGCTCTACGACATGAAGTGAGAAACTAACGTGTTACTTCATGAATTCACGCAAACGTTCACAACTTCTGACACTATTGAACACTTGCATGACATGCGAAATGAAGTTTGTTTTGTGAGATCGCAAGTGCTCAGCCGGTTCACCACGCTCATGTGGGCACGTGTGAACTGCTAAAATGTGCAGAACACAATCACACGGCCAGTCATATGATCACTCATACGATCAGTTATATGATCAGTCATATGATCAGTCATATGATCAGTCACATGGGACAATCACATTACACATCAGAGTGATCAGACACATGGCAAAATCACATGACCAGTCACATGACCAGCCAGTCACATGACCACTGACCAGTTGAATGATCAGTCACATGGAACAATCACATGACCAGTCACATGACCAATCACATGACCAGTCACATGACCAGTCACATGACCAGTCACATGACACAATCACAGCACTAACCTGACGTCCACTCCGGCTTCTTTCGCTTCAAGTAGACGGTGCTCATAATGGCCACCACCAGAACCATGGCGGCACACACTGACATCATGAGGATTGTGAACTGGCTGAGCAGAGCGTCATCACCAGTATCTACCCGTCACAACACAGGGCACAGAGCACAGAGCACAGAGCACAGAGAAGAACGCAAGGCTTCTGTACTACAGTGCGTTTCACACATCTATTACATGACCACCATACAGGACAGCCATGTTGGTTCCAACTCCACTCAATCCCTGCATCTATGGGTCACATGACTATACAGGACAGCCATGTTGGTTCCAACTCCACTCAATCCCTGCATCTATGGGTCACATGACTATACAGGACAGCCATGTTGGTTCCAACTCCACTCAACCCCTGCATGCAGGGGTCACATGATGTCGGCCATGTTGGTTCCACTATCCACAGGACACGGTGGTCACTTTCAGCACAAAATTTGGTCACATGACCAACTGATGTGAACACCACTCTATTGTTGAGACGTGTTTCCCTGACGAGCGTCTCATGAAAAATCGATTAGGAAAATTTGCATTTAGATTCACCATAATTCTCTTCGAAGTTGGTTTTTCCAACAAGGAAAACACGCTTCTTGCCGAACTTGACACTGATGAGGGGGGGATTCCCCGAAACACTGTGTATCGAGAAGGGAGTGGTGATTTCTTGCAGGTTTGCCGAGTGGGAGGTGCGACATGCTCCTCGTGTGCTCAGGATGGCAGTCGTGAGTCAGTCAAGTGTCAAGTTCGGCAAGGAACAACCAACTTCATGACTAACAGCAATACTGCGGAAGTCGCAACTTCTAAGTTCATTATCTCTTTGGTTTTTTTTGGTTTTTTTCATAATGTCCACCTCATGAAATACCAGTGCAGTGAAACCTGTCTAAGACGACCGCTCAAGGGACATTCAAAGTGTGGTCTCTGTTACCAGGTGGTCTCCTTATCCAGGGTCATTCTAAACTGGAAATAGCATCCCTTGGCCGTGGTTCCAGCAGTCTTTTAGGACAGGTGGTCGCCTTGACATGCTTTACTGTATTCGTTGCTGTAATACAGCTATTGTCTCCTCGTCGCCTCTACAAGAAAGTAAGCAATGCCGCTAGTGTCAGCAGCAAGGTTGCCGGCGTTTGCACCATGAGGGGTTGTGGTTATCTTGTGTAAAAGGGGGGGGGGGGCGGGGAGGGAGGCACGCAACCAATGGACAGGTCCTAATGTCAGTGGCACAGTGAAAACACAAAGTGCACTGACAGCGCAAGCGGCAAGAGACCTTCAGGCAACTACATCATGGATGGAGACTTCGTCACCTGAGCTAGCGTAGCGTATAGCGTATCCCTGTACGTTACTGTATCCCCGTACAAAATTGGTGGCAGCGGTGGTTCACTTAAATTTGTTAGATTCGAACCACCTCCGAGAGACTGCGGCCCGCTACACTAGCGCAGAGTCATGGGCCCAGGCCTGGCCGCTCCGACTACTATGACCGGACCGGTTTTTTTCCCAAAAAAAATTAACCCGCCCAATTATTATTATTTGTGCAAAGCGGGTTTTCTGTTAGTATGATGTTCAATTCCGGTCTAGTGCCCTAATTGGCCAGACCAACTGCAATGCAGGTGCTACATTGTAGTACCAGCACCATCAACAGCCAACAAAAGTAGTTTGCTGATGTCACATTGATCACCTGTATTGTATTTTATTATTTTACGTGGGCATTGCGAAGTTCCCCAACAAACCCTCAGGTCTTCTAACTTACAGGGTGCTCAAGATGAAGGAATGTGTGCTAAGTTCCTGGCGAAATGAATTGGGGACCTCGCGCCTAGGAACTAGTGTTAATCAAACGGAACGTGTTGTGACTGCACAATGGCCGTAATCCTCTCTTCACGGACACCTGTAACCAAAGACTGCAACAAGCTGGCCAGTCGCAAACGCTGCATTGTGCATACACACTGTTAGAAGTGTGCACATGTCAGGTTTTGCGGCCGTAACAATAGTGATGAAACGAACTATGAATTAATGAATTTTACGAACGAATAATTTAGCGAATACCACTCAAGCGAACGGACGATTATTCCACTGTTCTGCAAGAGAATTCATTATGGACAATTATCAAGAACTATTGCGACTTCGAACTGTCCAGGCAGCAATCACACAACACAAGCGGCGCTCAGACTCAGACGTGAGTCAGAGTAGAGTCCACAATGGTCTCCCACGCGTCGTCTAGTCGTTGAGTCGGCGCGCGCACGCGCGGTGTGCATCGCACGGACTTCGCCCGCCTGCGAATATTTGAATTTAGAATCTTCGACCTAGATTTTATCGGATCAGTTATTCATTGAGGTCCAAGAGATTGAGGAAATTGGAATAATCGATTATTCAGTAGAATCGTTACATCACTACGTAGCAAGCATCAGAGTGACTCATGACAAGAAGTTGCACTCAGTAGCTGCGTATATTTAGTATTTACCTGTCCCGCCATCATTTGCCCTGGCCACAGCAACCGTTGTTACATGGCTGCTGCTGCTGCTGATGCTGCCGCCGCCGCCGCTGCTGCTGGTGGTGCTGCTGCTGGTGCTTCTGCTGCTGGTGCTTCTGCTGCTGGTGCGCCTGCTGCTGCTGATGCTGCTGCTAGTGGTGGGCCTGCTGCTGCTGATGCTGCTGCTAGTGGTGGGCCTGCTGCTGCTGCTGATGCTGCTACTAGTGGTGGGCCTGCTGCTGCTGCTGATGCTGCTACTAGTGGTGGGCCTGCTGCTGCTGCTGATGCTGCTACTAGTGGTGGGCCTGCTGCTGCTGCTGATGCTGCTACTAGTGGTGGGCCTGCTGCTGCTGATGCTGCTACTAGTGGTGGGCCTGCTGCTGCTGCTGATGCTGCTACTAGTGGTGGGCCTGCTGCTGCTGCTGATGTTGCTACTAGTGGTGGGCCTGCTGCTGCTGATGCTGCTACTAGTGGTGGGCCTGCTGCTGCTGATGCTGCTACTAGTGGTGGGCCTGCTGCTGCTGCTGCTGATGCTGCTACTAGTGGTGGGCCTGCTGCTGCTGCTGATGTTGCTACTAGTGGTGGGCCTGCTGCTGCTGATGCTGCTACTAGTGGTGGGCCTGCTGCTGCTGATGCTGCTACTAGTGGTGGGCCTGCTGCTGCTGATGCTGCTACTAGTGGTGGGCCTTCTGCTGCTGATGCTGCTACTAGTGGTGGGCCTGCTGCTGCTGATGCTGCTACTAGTGGTGGGCCTGCTGCTGCTGATGCTGCTACTAGTGGTGGGCCTGCTGCTGCTGATGCTGCTACTAGTGGTGGGCCTGCTGCTGCTGATGCTGCTACTAGTGGTGGGCCTGCTGCTGCTGCTACTGCTGGTGGTGCTGCTGCTGTTGCTGCCGCCGCTGCTGCTGGTGCTGCTGCTGATGCTGCCGCCGCTGCTGATGATGCTACCGCCGCTGCTGCTGATGCTGCCGCCGCTGCTGCTGTTACTGCTGGTGCTAGTCCTGCTGCTGATGCTGCTGTTACTGCTGGTGCTAGTCCTGCTGCTGATGCTGCTGCTAGTGGTGGGCCTGCTGCTGCTGCTGATGCTGCTGCTAGTGGTGGGCCTGCTGCTGCTGCTGATGCTGCTGCTAGTGGTGGGCCTGCTGCTGCTGCTGCTGCTGCTAGTGGTGGGCCTGCTGCTGCTGCTGATGCTGCTGCTAGTGGTGGGCCTGCTGCTGCTGCTGCTGCTGCTGCTGATGCTGCGGGTGCTAGTGGTGGTCCTGCTGCTGATGCTGGTACTGCTGCTGCTGGTGCTGCTGCTAGTGGCGGTCCTGCTAATGCCATCAGTGGTAACTTTCGTGGCAGCCACTGTGTCCTGCTCAGTGGAAAGAAAGAGAGATGAGAGAGAACAGAAAAAAGAGAAACCATGCAAGGACTAAGGAGTTGCATCTGAAGGCAATTGCCGCTAGCTGTGCTGTATTCAAACTCGAAGCGACGTGGGGAAAGAGGTTACAGGGGCGTCGGAACTGGTGCAGCAGCTGTGGCCAAGGCCGCACCAACAATGTAAAAATATTGTGATTTTGAAGCAATCAAATACAGGTTATTTAGTGCAACATTTTCCAAAAAATGTTCACAGCCACACCTCTTCATTGCCGCGCCAATGTTGAATACTTTCCCGACGCCCTGAGAGGTCTGAGAGGTGAAGTGATTGTGCAATTGGAGCATTCGCAGGCTGTACTGCATCATGTTCAGAAGGCAGCATGTTGTTTGGAGAAGCCTTGCCGCCGTGCGACCCGTTCTGCCCGCCGTCCGCTCTTTCTGTGCTGACGGCTGCCCTGATGCAGACCCCTACACCAAGACGTGGCAGTAGCAATTCATCGAGGCGTCGTTCACACTCCATATCTAACATTCACCCACATGCATGACAGGACCGGCGGTGAAAGCAGTTTTTGACTGGTCAGGCCATACCCTAGCCTTTCATACAGTTTGTGTATGATATGGAGGGTAGTCACATGACTTTCATAAAGTTTGTGTATGATATGGAGGGTATACACATGACTTTCATACAGTTTGTGTATGATATGGAGGGTAGTCACATGACTTTCATACAGTTTGTGTATGATATGGAGGAGACACACATGACCTCCTCAGCAGTAAACACACGTTGGTAGCCAAAAGGTTGGTCCGGCTACGGCCCGACCAACCGGACCAGTTCCGCCGGGCATGCTTGTACTTGTATGACCCTAGTAGCCCAGTTGAAGACATAATTTATTATTATTTCGTTTCTATAATAATAATTATACCGCTTGCCTGTCTTTATCTCTATACATTTGTAAAATAAAAAGAGAAGAAACACATGAGAACGAGTTCTGCAGCAACTATCCACGACTGAAACAAGATGATAAACGGTCAGAAAGTGCGATAATAGGGCACAAAACTGACAGGCTACTGAGACATTCAGCGACCCGAGACCTAGCTCCAACACATCTCCAGTGCGCAAACCAACATCCTTCCAACTTGGAAGGTTCATGGTTACGTAGGACCAAAGAGGGGAAGGTGAGCGCAGCGAAAATGTCATCTTGTTACAGTCGTGGATAGTTGCTGCATAACTTGTTCTCATGTGTTTCTTCTCTTTTTTACATTTTATTACTGGCTCAGCATCCGAGTTTAAACTCTATACATTTCCTCATATAATTTCGGTGAAAAAAGAAGGACAAAATGTTGCGAGTTATGACTAACTGTCCAATACAGAGGCAATCTGCTTTGGTTCTGCAAAAGTGCTCAATGCCTGATTCAGGCAGAGCGGCGTACTGTCCAATAGTCCAATAGTGCTGTCCAATAGTCTTATTAGTTTCGTCATCATCCAGTAACTTTCGGCATTCTTTGTTGCCGTGATGCGTAGCTCGTGCTCTTCTTCGTTGCGCTTTCCTTCCCCTCTTGGACCTTTCCGAACCTGAGCCCTCCAAGTTGGAAGGTTGCTGGTTTGCGCCTTGGAGAAGTGTTCGAGCTAGGTGTCAGGTCGCCGAATGTCTCAGCACTCCTTGTCAGTCTTGTGCCATTTTGTCGCATTCGCTGACTGTATAAGATCTGGTTACGTTGGTAGACACTGGACAGTTAGTCATAACTCGTAACATTTTGTCCTCAGTCTCCTTTTTTCACCATAATTTAATTGGCTCACCATCCGAGTTGAATCATATTATAATTTCCTTCATCTTTCTGTGAAAACCGGACCTATGGGACGGTGAGAAGGCAATCATACCTGTGCAATTGGTGAAGTAAAATAAAGGTCAACAAACAAACAACGAATTTTAACTTCCCTCCAATACCTTTGAGAGTTCCGTAGGCCTGTGTTGTGATGTGCGCTGTGCAATGCTTCTGACCTTGGTAACACTCGAGTCCCCAGTGGTTGGAGCACCATCAGCAATGCTAGATACATTGTCATCAGTAACGCTGGCAATCTGCACAGGTGTCGGCGTTGCTGTCGGCATCGTTGCTGACGTGGGAATAGCCGTCGCAGGAACGGTCGACGCGGTCGCAATCACCGGAGAGGCGGTTGCTACGGGGGTGGTCGTCGTGGGCACAGTCGTCATGGGGACAGTCATCCTCGGGCAAGTGTAGTTGCCTATGGTACCCGTGCAGCTGGGCAGGTCATGTGACGAAGAGAGCGTTGGACATCCCAGCGTGGTTAGGGATACGGCGGTACATTTACTGAAGCAATCCACACCAGCTAAAGCTGTCGGGAACAAGACAGCAGCATGCGTACATACACACATGCGCATGCAAGCATGCCAATACACATGCACACGCACGCACGCGCGCACACGCACACTCACACACACACACACACACACACACACACACACACACACACACACACACACACACACACACACACACACACACACCATGTACCATGTATACGCCCGTCGCAAGAGAAGAACGCAAATATGCAAATGCAATGGATGTGCACCCACAGATTTTCTCTTATAGCAACGGTAGCGAACAAGATCTGAATGAGACAGATCAAGACTTGCGACAGATAACTGCTCACACACACGCACACATGCACACACGCATGCACGCACGCATGCACCCACACACACACACAGACACACACACAGACACACACAGACACACACAGACACATACACACACACACACACACACACACACACACACACACACACACACACACACACACACACACACACACACACACACACACTGAGAAGGCAGTTGAGAATACTGAATCCACAGATGGAAACACATTGCCTCAAATCAGTCTTGTTTAGCATGAAATGCACACATATAGCCACGAGTGCAAACAAAACAAAAACATACACGCACGCATGAATGCATGCAAGCACACACACACACACATACATACCCCCACACATCCCCACACGTGCGTGTACACAAACACACACACACACACACACACACACACACACACACACACACACACACACACTGACACAGAGCCGGGGCTGACATCCTACCATCTCGAATATATGACTTGACAATGGACTCAGCGAAAACTTTGGACACGCCGAGTAGTACACACAGCTTGCCATTGTAAGGCAGTGAATTATACGAGATGTTACTAGGCATGGGAAAATGACAAAGACGGGAAATGTGAGGAATTGGGGCTTGTGAAAAAACAAACAAACAAACAAACAAACATACCATACACATGCCATAGCCTTGGCACAGGTTGTGGTAACTCGAGACAGTGCTCGAATAGGAGAAAGACAAACTCAAGACGAAGACTGCCCTTCGCTCCACAGTGACAAGCGCACGCACCAACTCTACGTACGCATGACGCCGTACCTTGGTGCAGACCCGTAGTTACACACGCACGCACGCACGCACACACGCACACACACACACCCACCCACCCACCCACCCACGCGCGCGCGCGCACGCACGCACGCACGCCCGCGCGCGCGCGCACGCACGCACGCACGCACGCACGCACGCACGCACACACACACACACACACACACACACTGATGCATACACGTGTGTTGAGAAGAGCAGTTATCAAACTGTCTAAAAGTGCAGTTGTGACTCCGGGTGATAGTAATTCTACTTGACCAGTTCAGGGGAATAGCACCCGCTACGACTGGTACGACCATGGCCGTACCACTTTTCGAAAAGTGTGGTCCGTCCGAAACGTGCAAAACCGTAATAAAAAAATCAGGATCCATCGATGCATATGCGCATCAGACTTTGACCCTTTTCTGGACTCGTACTCGTAGATCTGCCATGCATCTGCAGTCGTACTGAGTACTGTACTCGACTGCACACTGCGCCAGAAGTTCCCAGAATGCAGGATTTGTTTGACTTTTTTTACAAAATTTTCCCGCGGGAGGTCCCCCGGACCCCCCTCCAATACAGCCTTCGGTCCTACCACTTCCAAAACCCCTCCTACGCCCCTGCAGTTCATGCGTCAAACTCTTGACTGTGGCTAGACAGTTTGTGTCGCCTCTCTCTGTGCGTGGGTGAATGTCACCACTGTTGAAAACCAAAAAGGGGAAGTGCATCGAGTTTTCAAGTAGGGCTCAGATGAAAGACAATTTGATATCGGTTCCGATGGTATATCTCTCGCCTCCATGCGATATTGCAAACTTGCCATATCGCCGATTTTCTGATTGCGTTTCCATGGCGACTACAGGTGATGACGCACACTCTGCTTAGCTACGTGAGAGACAAGGTCGATCACTGCAGAATTGTGTCATTTTCAGTTGTCTTATTGTATTCACGAAGTGAAAGAAGTGCTGTGTTCAATGCTGTTAGTGATGTGAACTGTTTATTAGTAGTCCTCTCCGTTGTGTACTGGAACGTGACACTGACAGGAGAAAGCTGGAGCGCGGAGACGTTAGCTGGCAAGCGGAAATCGTCACGAACCAAGTGCTGAAATCTTGGTTGGGACAAATCAAACGTTCAGCATTTACCTCAACCAATGACCATGCCGTTTGTTCTTTCCACTTCCTGACGATGAATGCGCTGCCTGCTGGAGACTCTTCTATCTCTCCTAACATATTCTGAAGCCACATGAGACGACGGGTAGCGGAGATTTAGCGAACGAAATAATGTTGTCTGTTTTGATATTTTGCTGAATATTTCTCAGGAGAGATGGCATGTATGAACGTAGGCCATGTGAACTCAATCAGCAAGCTAACCCATGAACAAATGCTTTCCTTGCAGACGTGCATGTGTCTATCCAATCTTCACGTAGAGATCATTACATGCCCTCACTGAATGGCATATTTATATATTTGTCCATACACTTCATCTGCATGTTGTCTCTATGGAGAAGGGTATTGTTCATTTCATATGAAGAAGTTTGTGCAATAGTTGCTTTCCTCTGGTACAATTCTGTTGGCCTGATGTTCTTTC